TAATTAACTACTTCCGAACCCTGCCTAAGACCTACTACAATATTGTAAAATCCTAAAATTAAGAAATTGGCGCTTATCATAGGTGTTTCTCCTGGACCCTTCATATGGAAGCAACGATTTTTTTTTGGTAAATTAGCTTCACCAGTATGTATGTAAAGAAATCTTTGAACGCTATGTTCGCCTACATTTGTTGGTAAAAAAACATACGGTAGCCAAGAAGATATTACTTTTTATTGCATGTGTATGTTTATATGTAGGGTCGTATCTTTTAACGGTCCACAACATACATTCATATCTAATCCCGTTTTGTTTATACTATAAGCAGAAGGACCGAAAGAAGAAGGAACAAAAAGGGCCATTATTCTAGGAGTTTACGACCCATGCCATGCTTAGACTTTACGAGAGTTAAAACAAATATAAGGCGCCATTCGGACGTGTCATGTACCTACGGTGCGCCGTTTAAAATTATTTAGATCGTAATTTTCGGGGGGTAGCAACATGTTCGAGTTGGCAGTTATACAGGGAGAGTCTTAAGTAAGTTCAAATGTTTTAGGAATAGTATATTTCGACTCCAGAAATACGTCTATGAGGTTTTTTTCGCAAAAATAAACTTTTAGAAAATTTATAATTTTTCGAAAAAATTTGGATGTTTTATTCGAAAAAACAATTTTTATTTTAATTTTTATTCGTATGTTCGAAGAAAGCGGCCTCCAGCGGCCTCCTACATTTCCCAACAAAATAACAGCGAACTTCATTTCATAGCCTTCGCTGACGCTGTTTTTTTTTATCATACGATATGTCGGTTATTTTCGACTTATTTGAAAAACGTTTTTTTTGTCGATTTTCTACCAGCCCTGAAAATATTTACACTCATTTAAGATACCCTGTACACAGAGTGTCACTGGTAGTAATTCCAATTTTTCAAAATTCCGGGAAAATAATCTATAATACTGGTATTCCGGAATTAACTGTCAGAATGAGAAATCTAATATAACTACTTGCTGCATAATAAAAATGCAGCTACATATACAGTATGTTCCCGGATTGTCTTTACAAGAAGATATATTTTTTTTTATTATTGACATTTTGGGAAAAAATGCATTCTTCACAAGAATGTTTGCTTGTTCTAAAATGGTTATTCCCGTTATACTTTTCCAAATTATCATATGGTGGAGTACCTTAAGCCCTTATGGGATACACACCTCAGAATTCATTTACTGTTAACGAATCTTTATAAAACTTTTTGCATTGTATTGATAATAAGATATATTACAAAGTTTACCTATTTAAATTCGTTGCTTTCACTTTAGTATAATAAACACACATACAATACAAAGGAATGCATACAAGATGGCTCCGTGTTCCGAAAAAGCTCTGTATCAGGATTCCTATTTGAGATTTTCACTCCAAACCTTTTACAAATTATGTGTTTAATGGTAGTTCATATTTCACAAATATTTTTATAGATACTTAATGAATACTACTTTAATGAACTGCTTTATATTTATGCAGTGAATTTGCTATAAAATTCCGGTTCTAAAAATACCTGAAAACCACAGGGTATACTGAGTGGTTTTTGATTTATGACCACATCCATGAGGACGTCAATCTAGACGTCCAGGAACCTTCGTATGAGAACTTCTAATCGAGACGATCGACTTATTATTATAAGTTTATCAAATTTATAATGAATTGCACCTAAGGAACGTACATATTAACTAACGGACTATAAGAAGAATACTAAATGAAGCAGAACTTACTGGATCTGTTGACTAGGACTAAAAGCAAAAACATGGTTTTAATGTAAAAGTTACGAAAAAATGTTAGTATCTTTTCAAAAACGAATATCTCCATCAAAAATAAAGCTAATGAGACGAACCAAAAAACAAACTATCGAGAAAGGATGTATCTAGATGACAAATTGATTTTTAAATTTCTTGCTGTTTTAACATATTCCACAGGGTGTTTCAAACTTTCAACAGAATATCAACATTTTGTTTTCCCTCGTATAATTAACAGATAGGAAGTTTCATTTTTAATTTAGAAAGAGATATTCAAAAGTCAGATAATTTGGTTACATACTGCTTAAAAAATCATCGAAATCGGCCCACTAGAACAAAATATATTAAACTTTAAAATACCTCAAAGTTTTAAGGTGTCCATTTTTTGTGCCGGTAAATGTATTTCAAAAATTATACATTTTAGTCATATACTTTTCTAATGAAACTCGCCTTTATTTTTTTACTAGAATCCGAAAATCAACTAATATACAGGGTGTTACAAATTCGAGGTACGAGCATTGGTATCTCGGAAACCGTAATAGATACGAAGATGGTTAAATTGGGGCAAAGTTGCGCCTTTTTTCCAAAAAACTCAGCAATTCAAGGATTGCTGAGTTTTTTGGAAAAACGGATTTTTTTGAAAACTAATTTTATTTTTTCCTGTCGTTACTTTTTAGAAAATCAAAAAACTAATTGCACATTTTCATAGCCACTTTATTAGGTCTATCTGATAGTATTTTTAGATTTTCAAATTAGCTGATAATTTGTGAGATACAGAGGCCAACATAATTTTTTTAAATACGGACCTGCATTTTTTATTTCAGATTTTGAAAGAACTCGGTCTCCTGAGTACAATGATGTGCCACACTTTATACTTTTTTTTGGTACCGGGAACAGCAACAAAACTATTTAATTATTATTTTAAAAAATTAAAAAAAGTCCGACTCTGTTTTTTAAATTAATTAATCTGATTATATTCATCGCAACAATATTGATCAGTGCTAATTAAAATTGAATAAGAAAAATTCAGCCAATTGAAAGATTCAAATAAATAATATCCAGATCAGCAATATAAAGATATTATTTTTAATTTTTCTTATTGTGAATTTGAAATTCTTAGTGTACGATCTAATAATTTGCATAATATTTATCGTAGTTATTCTGAATCAATTAACTTCTACAAACTAGTTTGTAAAGCTTTACATAGTCTACATGTTCGAAAGGGGGTGGTAACCCTTTCTCCCTATTGCACCAATTTATTTTTCGTTCAATTTTATTTATAGCTTTTGAATAGAACTTCTTATACTTTCGAATGCATTTTGTACTCTTTATTGTAACTGCCGAGATGTGTTGATTTCACTTTTTGTAAAATTTGGACCTGTCGAATTACTTGACGTCATCAGACGGTCCAGGAACCTGGCTGGCCATTATACTGCTTGATTTTCCGTATTCAACCCACGTCACTGTTAAGTTTGAAAGCTTCTCAATATTGTCAATATTGTAACGATGAATATATTAAATATTAAAAAAAACAGAGCCGGACTTGTAATTAGTTTAAATAAATTGTGTCCAAATTTCGAAAACAAAAAAAATATCAAGTATGGCATATCATTATACTCAGGAGAGCGAATTCTTTCAAAATCTGAAATAAAAAATGCAAGTCCGTATTTAAAAAAATTAAGTTGGCCTCTGTATCTCACAAATTATCAGCTGATTTGAAAATCTAAAAATACTATCAGATAGCCCTAATAAAGTGACTATAAGAATGTGCAATTAGTTTTTTGATTTTCTAAAAAGTAACGACAGAAAAAAATAAAATTGATTTTCAAAAATATCCGTTTTTTCCAAAAAACTCAGCAATCCTTGAAATTTTTAAAACTTTTTTGATGGCATCTTGGTGAACATCCCAAAGCGCAACTTTGCCCCAATTTAACCATGTTCGTATCTATTACGAACAGTTACCAATGCTCGTACCTCGAATTTGTACTCGAATTTGTAGCACCCTGTATAGGTTGTTCCATTACAAAAAACACAACTTTAATATGTAACTTTTTCTGAGGACACCCTGTAGTACTCTATATCATTTTAGAAAATGCTCTAAATTGACTTAAATAATCCCACAAAATTTCACTTCAATATAAACTTTTGTTCTCCATGCAAAAACTGCGTCAAAAATTGCCACCCTTTCTATAGTATTGAATTAAATAAATTTTGTGCTTGTTTAAAATTTTAAAACAGCAAAAAATATGACGTTAGGTAATTAAAATTCTACAACGAAGAAAATTGATCAAAAATTGGAAGAAATAATCGAATAATTAATACCATAGGAACGCGATTTGATTTTTAGGACTTCAACCATATTTCACGTTTTTTTTTATAATTTTCTCCAAAACGGTACCTATATGGATGGAAATAAAAAAAGTATAGGATTAACAAACAGGATTAACCGTTTTAGAACAAGCAAAAATTCTTATGAAAAATGCATTTTTCCCAAAATGTCAATAATAAAAAAGTGTTTCCTCTTGTAAAGACAATTCGGGGACTGTAGTACATATATCAAAAAGAAAAAGAGAAAAGAGTTTTATTAAAATAGACAAAACAAAATAATAGGCAGGTAGGTATTTTTTTATTTTAAGGAGTTCTTTAAAAAAATTCGAATAATTTTTTTTCTAATCTTTTGTTCTTCATTCTTCCTATGTCTAGGTCGCCAATGCAATTTTGGCAATTTGGCAACAAAACTATATTTATACTTTATAGTTTTATCAAAAAATAATATTAAGAATTTGTCTACCGAAATATTCTGCTTTTATACATCTATCGTTAACATTTCATGCATAGTCCCTGTAGCGCAGAGGATAGCGCGTTGGACTTCTAATCCAAAGGTCGTGGGTTCGATCCCCACCAGGGATGCGTGTGGCTAAACTTTTTTATTTTTTTTTTTAATTTAATTAAAATATTTAAAGCCTGAGAAAATATAAATAAAATGGGAAATAATAAAATAAATTAATAAAATTTTAATTAAACGTGAAAACGCCTACGTTTGAGAAATCGTCATTATTTATTCGGGAGGATTTCCTAAAATGGACTTTAATTAAGACCGAGGGAAAAACTTTTCGTGTATTTCATTAATCTTTGCGAACAGGGAAGTACTTGAATTGATGGCTTCAAAAATAATTCCGTATTTCTGTTTTTTTTTTGAAAGGGCGTACACTACCCAGCAAACACGAACTATCGGTAAATAATCGGCCAATTGCCGTAAACGATGGCTGAGTAACGGCATCGGCAAAATATAATTGGTCCTATGTGTTACCGATGATTGAATTTTGGCCTTTGGCATTTGAACGCTGGCATAACGTTGGCATTTATTTAAGTAATCATTTTAAAGTATACAACCGGTAGTGCATCAACGGAACGGCAACGTGCCAACGTGCGTTTCCCATTCTTCTTAAAAATTTGCGTTTGACGTATCTCTTGTCAATGATGTCAATTATCTAATTTGTCCCGCCAACGCCGACTGACGCCGACCGAAATGGAAAAATGAGAAAAAACGCCGCTTATTGTGTCTTGAATTTGGAATATTGGAATGTGTTTTAAATCATTCGTGATCTTAGTAATTTTTTAAGTGTTTAATTATTGTGAAGTTTTATTGTATTGTTCGATTGTTGCTACTTTGAGGAAAAATGAATAATCAATTGCTAGACATTAGTAAAAACTACCCGACAACGGTGACAACTTGGTGAGTTTGCATGCCTACTTTTGAATCATTTTTGTGCACTTACATGAAACTATTTTGTGAACAGATCAGCATTTAGAATGTCTACTTTTAAATCCAAAAGTAAGCGTCAGCAAAGACGTTTAATTAACGCAAAGGTAGAGAAAGTAATTGGTGAATTGCGAGCTGAAAATTTTACCTCCGAGGCTGGCTCTGAAGATTCTCATTGTCCTCAGCCCATAGTACAAATCTGTACAAATAACCATACTTATTCTACGCCATCAACTTCTTCAGGTTCTATTTTTAATGAAAACTTATTCAGTTTACATAAAAAAAAATCACATACTGATGATGCCTTTGATGATTTGAAAGAACTAAATGTATTATTAGAAAATGAAGAACAATTTAAAACTCTTGTAAGTACTTATCAAAACTTTTAATATATTTAAGCCATTTTTATGTAATAAAGTTATATAAATTCCAGTGCATGAAACTTAGTTTAGTTGGCGGAAAAGATGTTGCCACATGCACAAGAAAAATTCTTTCTCGCTTAATTTCACATCAATTAACTCTTAATTTAAATTGGACGGGAAGAAATGAAAAAAGTGGTCTTAAAGAGCTTGGAAATGTAGTTAAGGTCATTGTAGGTAAGTAGCTTAATTCCAGGGTAAATTAGATACATTTACAAAAATATATATCAACTTTTTTTTTTAAATATACGGCCTTATTATCAATTATAATACCGTATGATCGAAAAAAAAGGCGTCCAGTTGGCTTGGAAATGACGATCGGTGACATTTCCCATATAATTTTACATATAAAATGACAACGATCTTCATTTCGTAGCCATCACTGACGCCGATTTTATTCGATCATACGGTACATATTGTCATTTTCCATAAGAACTAAATGTGTTAGAGACAGAATATAGATTTTTGGTAGGAATTGAGCAGGAAATCAGAATATTATAAGCTCGATCAATTTTATAAATCAGAAAAAAATTAAACGATTTTGCAATTTTCGGTTTTGTTCGTATAACTACGAACGTAATTGGAGTTTTTTAACTTTCAAAACAGCATTTTATTTGGCATGAAAATGCTCAACTTTGCCCCAATTTAAAGGACCCTGTATCTGTTACGGTTTATATATCGGAATATATTATATTCCGCTTCAAATTTGTAGCAACCTGTATATACACAAATGCACACATATTTACACAAAGCATATAATTTTGATAATTTTTAGCTTCTGTTAGGAGAAATCCGAATTTCAAAAACGGAACTGCGGACGAAATCGAACACATGATAAAAACTTGGCTTCGCAATGCTGCTGATAGAGATGGGGGGAGAGTAAGAAGAAATAAGAATACTAATTGATTTGATGGTAAGATCTGCTATAATTATTGTATAAAGTTCATATAAAAAAAGTTATTCTTTTATTTTTCAGATGGAACGTTTTATTTTATTTTTTAAGTTTGTTTGAAAGAATGTTTTTTTTTCTCTTTATTTGTGTTCAGCCCTGGGTAAATATGTATATTGAATATTAATGAATTATTTATATTATATCTTCCTTCATAAGCCTAATGTATTTTTATTTATTCCTATAGCCATTTTTAAACAAATAAATAATACAGAATATTACAGTTCGGTTTTTGCAACTTTTCTGAAAAGAAGTTTCACGCGTACAAGGAAGTACATGCAGTGACCGGCTAAAATATGGAACAAATTTATTTAAAAATTACATAATTGATTTTTTAAAAGGGTGCTCGAACACGTCTTATCATATTTTTCTTGCGCATTTTTTGCACCAAATAAAATATACAGGATATATAATTTTTAAATGAATTTGTTCCATATTTTAGCTGGTCACAGTGTATACAGGGTTATTCATAAGTCCTATTTGACGTTTACGGAGAACCAAAAATCCAATCCTCTTAAAAACTGGGGTCTTAAAACAGTGATGCAGTTTCTTGCTAAACTTGGCGACAACTTCGTTTTTTTTTATATAGAACACCTTTATATTAGTTTGTTTTTGAATTAACCTTGAGATTTTATGTAACTTCTAATAATGCCCTATGCCTTTCTTCAACAGTTTTCGAAAAAAAAAATTACTTTCCAAAATTTTCGCTAAAATAAGAATCAAAAGAAGTCGCGAATTCTCGGTTATGCAAAATAGTAAAAAGTTGAAATTATTTTTTTTCCTAAAACAGTTGAAGATATAGGTATAGAAGGCATTATAGTAGTTATTTAAAATTTCAAGGACAAATCAACAAACTAATATACGGGTGTTCTATTTAAAATAACGATGCTGGTTGCCAAGTTTAGCAAGAAACGGAAACCTTGCGTTTGGCCAGCATTCTGCCGATGTTTATTTTAAATTAAATATAATCCATAGGGCCATAAGATTTAAGCACGTATAGCCAGCGTTGGCCCAACGATACAATTTAGACGTTGCATCGGCCCAACGCCGATTTATACGGTCGGCCGACATACGGTTCGACTGTCGGCCGGGCGGTCATATACGGTCCGGGCCAGTACTTTTTTTTGGGGTCGGTCCAGTGCCTGTTCTCCGGCAATGCGGCATTTGTTTGATGCTGGCCCGTAAGAAATGTGTTTGTTGGGTAAGTAATGTTTTTACAATTAAATTTTTTGAAGTTGAAGAAACCCTATTTCCTGACTAGATAGAGCAAAACCGACATAGATGTCATGGGCTCGATTTCTGACACACGTTTAATGGCATAAACTGCCTGTTGATATTTTCACTGCCAACTGAGATACGGGGTCTTTTTGATTTTTTTACCATTTGGAAATTGCCCATAACTTTTGCATTTCGTGGAATAATACAATTTTGCAACTAAGGCACTTTTTTAAGCACAATCCAGTGACGTAGTCAGTTTTTTTCTATGCTTGCTCTTTTTGTCAGAAATAATAAAAAATATAATTTTTTAAATGGAAATCATTGTTGGCTATGAACTTAAAAAAATGCTGGCGTTTAACCCTTTCCAACGATATAAAGTTATAGGTATTTATTTCTAAGAATGAGAGAAATATAAGGGGGGGTTTATTATCTTAATATTGATGTGGGCCTTGATTTTATGTTGACCTAGTTGCCTAATAAATTTTTACCACAATTTAATATTCTATATTATTATTTATTTGCATAATTACAGACTTTTGAAAAGGTAAATCAACATTCTATATTAGTATTACCTATTACAATTAAAACGGCAGGGTTTATACAACTGAACTATTAAACGGAGAATTTAGAGAGAATCGGATTCGAACAAGGGGCCCCATATTTTGGCCTGCTAGATCCTGTGATTTAACTTCTTTCGGCTTTTTTTATGGGAGAAATTAAAAGACCTAAAAATTGCAGAAGGCTACTAAGCAAGCATCAGTTCGCCTAATAACTCGCTGTAACTATGTGTAACGTTTTTACAGAATTTTATTATTCCGCGAAATAAAAAAGTTATGGGCAATTTTCAAAATGGTAAAAAAATCAAAAAGACCCTGTATCTCAGTTGGCAGTGAAAATATCAACAGGCGATTTATGCCATTAAACGTGTCTCAGAAATCAAGCCATGACATCTATGTCGGTTTTGCTCAATCTAGTCAGGAATTATTTCGACCACCCTGTACATTATTAACAAAACTGATTAAAATAATATTACATTTTTTCAATAGCTATTACACTGAAAAATAATCAAAAGCGTGAAATTTGAATATCCAAACATTATTTTTGAAGGAAACGGAACCGCGAATTAAGATTTTACCCCTTCGCCCCCTACTTAAATCTAAACCTTTACCATCTCCAATTGGGCATTGAATTTCAAGACCAGTCGTAGGGGAGGTATAAACTAGTGGAGGACTTGGGGGGTAATAAAGCTCGATTTGCTTATAAATCCGATCTGTGAATTCCCCCTAAAATGTATATTTATTAGATACACTCCGGCAAATTTAAATTTGCTAATCATTTTAGAAGATCTTATCTTCATGGGGTTGCAAAGTAAGGGAGGGGGGTATTATGTCTACTGCGGAGAATATTGAGAAAGGGAGAGGAAGGATTTTTTAACTATTAATATTTCAGCGTCCTGATTACTCAGCAGAAAGGTTATATAAATTTTAATTTTAACACAGGAAAAGTAAGAATAAATATTTTTTTTTAAACGGGATTCACAATGAATTACTTTAAATTTTAGTGAGGTAACGAATATTCACGAATTCGTATATTCTTTTATATTCTCATTCTCAGCAAAATTTATGCGAATATCAACGTTATAAAAAATGTACCTAAAAAATGTAAATTATATGGGGTAAATTATTCAAACAAATATACATTTCTTATAATATTAATTATACAGGGTGGCCCATCGAAAACGTTCCGCAAGGCATAACGACCAGGGTAATTTTTTTTTTCAAAAAATTCAAAAACACGTCAATTTTGTTTGTGAGGGGGACAATTTTGCCCAAAAAATGATTGCAAAATCTTCAACCCTTTAAGCGGGGGCGTCATCCCCCAATTTTTTTCAAATGGGAAGGGGGGTCAAGTGGTACCGCAATGAAAAGGGCTTTCTATTCTCTATACTTTCCGGCTTCGTTTTTGAAAATCGGTCGAGTTATTGAGAAAATATGGAGGATTGAAAATTGAAAAGTTTATTTATTTATCAGACCAATTTGCTGTTTTTTCTTATTATTTCTAGATGTTTACGCATTTTTTCACTTGTCACAAGGTTGAACGATCAGGTGCGGTAGTTGCTAGATAGCTGTTCTGTGACTTATGCGTTGAAGTTCTTCTCAATATCGTTAAATTTTTTAACAATTATTATGGTGTACTTACTTGCAGAAAAAGTGGAAATAATCGAACTTTATTTTAAAAATAATGAATGTGGCAATCGGGTTGCGCAGATATTCAATGAACGCCATCCTGACAACCACCTTTATGGCAAAATTGTTCGCGAGTTAGTAGCAAAGTGTCCAAAGGATATTAAAAGAACGGAAGGTCTACCCGTACAACACTCAGTTGGTACAAGAACTCAACGAAAGCGATTTTGATCGTCGCTTGCAATTTTGTGAAACTATGAGTGAACAAGTGGCGAATGATAATAATTTTCTATTTAATGTGTGTTTTTTGGATGAGTGTACTTTCTTTTTGAACGGTGTAGTTAATGGGCACAACTGGTCGGTACTGGGCTGAAGACAACCCCAGGGTTTTTCACGAGGTGCACACACAAAACCCTCATAAAGTCGGGCTGGTATTTTTGGAAATTCTATTGTGAGTCAGTTTAACGATATTGAGAAGAACTTCAACGCACAAGTCACAGAACAGCTATCTAGCAACTACCGCACCTGATCGTTCAACCTTGTGGCAAGTGAAAAATGCGTAAACATCTAGAAATAATAAGAAAAAACCTCAAATTGGTCGAAAGAATTTATCCTTATCCTTTACTCTGATAAATGTTTCAATAAACTTTTCAAATTTCAATCCTTCATATTTTCTCAATGACTCGACGGATTTTCAAAAACGAGGCGGGAAAATATAAAGAATAGAAAAGTCTTTTCATTGCGGTGCCACTTGACCCCCCTTCCCATTAGAAAAAAGTTGGGGGATGACACCCCCGCTTAGAAGGTTGAAGATTTCGCAATCATTTTTGGGGCAAAAGTTGTCCCCCTCACAAACAAAATTGACGTGTTTTTGGATTTTTTGAAAAAAAGAGTACCCTGGCCGTTATGCCTTGCGGAACGTTTTCGATGGGCCACCCTGTATAGTAATTATATAAATATTTATCAAAATCTATTGAAAGAGCAAACACCTCACCAGTTCTAAAAGTCCCACCTTGCAAATTTGATGGTGGTAATTTTAAGACAATGTGTTTCTTTATAACAAGAAAACTGACTGAATATAAGTTTTCAGTAGTTTTATTTGAATAATCATGTTTTACCTAAATATGGCGTCTTTCATTTTTACCCCACTTGACTGACTTTTTTATTATTAATTATGGCATTTATAAACTTTTATACAGGGTATATTTCGACACCAGAAACACGCCTATGTGATTTTTTTGGCGAAAAAAAATTGAAAATTTTTAATTTTTTTTTAATGTTTAGTTAAAAACCTAATTAATAAATATTATGCCAAACCAAACCAAACCAAACATACGTTGTGTAGATTAAATTTAGAGGAACAAAATCCCCCAAAATATCGAGTGCTTCTGAAAGTTTAAGCCTCGGTTTAAGCACAGGTTTAAGCCAAAAATCATTTTAATTTTCAAAGTAAAATAACTCAGTTATTTTGGAAAAGAAAATATGTAAATTTTATCGAGATCTGAAAATATTTACCAGCTCTGAAAATATTTGCACTTATGTAACATAACCACCCTGTATAATAATTCTTTTAACAATAAACTAGTACTCGCATTTGCATTCGCGAAAATTAGTGGAGTATATTCCCATTAATGTTTAAAAATAAGCAACAGCCCAGCTATGTCGAAACACCGGTTCCCATTAGAACACCGAAGTTAAGCGACATAAGGCGATACTAGTTGATGGACGGGTGACCGGTTCGAAACTCTGTATCGTGCTGTTGTCCAAGGCAAAAGCGTAAAATCTATTGACACACACTGCTCATTCAGGCCGCGCCGCGCCGGTTCGAGGCCGGATGAGATCGGATATCTTGTGAGTAAGAGTCGATTTAGACACTTGCCAAGTCGGTAGGCCATTGGCCATGATATGGCCGAGGACCGCGGTTCGGAATCCGCGTAAACAAAGCAGGCCCCGTCCAGATAAGCCCTGGCAGCAAAAAGGAGACGTTAACTGAAATCTTTTACTTTTGTTTAAAAATTGATACTCGTTGCATCACCTATTCAATACCTATATAAAAATAAAGGTATACAGGGTGGTCCGAACTGTATTCCGGAAACTTCGGCAGCATATACTGCAGATAAAAATATGTAAAAAAGTTTGCTTAGTTTCGGAGATACAGGGTGTAGAAGTTTCATTTTTATTCCAATTTTTTCCAAATAATTTCTGCAGTAACTTTAATATTTGGATGAAAATTGGTATTTGGAAGTTTTTTGACATGAGAAATTTGATTTTGATGTCAATATGACTCCTACTTCTAGAGGGCGCCGCCTACATGTGTTTTAACTGTTTTGAAGAGTAATAACTTTTCGTCCGTACCTGTATAAAACTACTGAGTAAAAAAATATACATTTACGACGTTTTTTACGTAAAAAAGGTTTCTTGGTAAAAATGGCAACGAGTAATGATTCTCGCGATATTTGGAATCGAAATTATCAATACTTGTCATCATTGGCATACATTATTACATTATAGTTGGCTAGTTATTAGACTGAAATCATAAATTTGAAATATTTTTGTGGCAAAAGTTCAACAGGAACTGTTCAAAATCATTTTTTCGAAGAAAAATTTATGATTCAATTTAAAAAAATAAACACTTCCCAAATTTATTATTTCAGTGAAATAACTATATCTCTACTCAACATATTTATTTTTTATCAATAATGACATGTATTGACTATTTTCGTTCTAAATATCTTGAGATTGGTTGCTCGTAGCGATTTTTATCAAGAGACATTTTTTACGTAGAAAATAATGG